ATATGACCTATGCAGTTGCGAGCGCCGTAAAACCCTATACTAAACGTAACTCGCTCAATCCCAAATTTGGGGCAAAGCATGACAAGGGAAACAATCACAACTTGCCAGATACGCCGTTAAAGTACCGCAATCAACGTTCATTACAGTTCAACAACACAAGGCATTGCACGACACCGCATCCAGCCACTGGTGCGGATACGCCGAGACAGAACACGAGGAATAAATCATTATAAATGCCAGTCCTGGAGAAATCTCATGAGATCGTTGCGGTGTCACCGGTCACCACACACTACAGTTTGAAGGAACAACTTGGCCGTTGTGAGACTTTTCTCGTACACGTAAATACTGTACCAAATAAATACTATCATGTTACACAGGACAAGGTGGTTTTTAGTTTTAGTAGAGGGTTTTACGGCGCTCGCAACTGCATAAGGTCATATGAGCGCCAGGGGGTGGGTGTCAACAGAGAAGTCTTTACAGGGAATCAGACTTACTCTGCTCACCTCTCGAGCTTCAACAGCACAAAGTCTGCTTTACGGTGGTTTTGAGTAAAGAGAAGCACATTACAATGATAAAGAGAAAGAGTAAGACAAATAGGCACAACCAACAGAGATGACAAAGAAGTAGGACCCCCCCCCCCCCCCCCCAGTGGAACGCTTCAACCATCGCACCAGAACACCCGCCAACCATTCATCAAAAAAGTATGACTGCCATGATACAGGGGAAGACAGCATAAAACAACCATGAATATATAACAAGTCTCAGTCCAGCTTGATTAGAGCTTTACGTGGCGCTCATATGACCTTATGCAGTTGCGAGCCCCGTAAAACCTTCTAATTTTTTTTTTTTTAAAAAGAGTTTTACGGCGCTCCCAAACAAGTTTATCAAACACCCACCGAGACCCCACGGCACAGGACACAAGAACAACACACTGTGTACTTTTTCTCCTTGAAATTTTTAACATCCACACACCCCCCCTCCCCCATCAACACATTTAGTATCATTTAGAAGGCGGGCAGCTTTGACCCTGCCTATCAAGGTCAAAAACATCTGAGTGGGACACAACATCCCTACAGACGGACAGAGATACTTGAACCCCCCGGGGCAGTGCCACTGACTGTAGTGTCTTTAGGCCATTCCCAGAGGGGGGACATTTCTCGTTCAAGCACAGTAGAATTGTAAATGGGCT